TATGTTGTTCAACGCGGAGTTTCGTCGCCTTTGATATAAACTCCTCCCACATTGGCGCTGTTCTGTGGACAAATAGGACATGTTATTAATTTGGCAAATACTAAGGAATAGGACATATACGATGAGAAATCTGTAATAATACATAAAATAGTTTTCATAAAGTGTTCGCGCAACTTGCCGTACCAAACTACCTACGCAAAGAACAACCAGCTATAAATGAATTGGGCTATGACCAATTTTGATCAAAAATGACTAGTTCAAGCTGCATTTTAATCCATTGTAAATCATGTGATCGAATCTGAAGCTCTCTATAAAGCTCCGAGCGATGCACCAGAGATTATAACCCTGCCACAACACAGATAAACAATCAATAAATCTGGCAATATCGATAAAAGAATCAATACAAAATGAAATCGAAGAGTATTATCTGATTGATGCGTTCACTTTGCGTAATTTGTGAACGTGTATCATATGCAAGCAATACATTAGCGCCTGCCGATAATTTGAGAGCAATCAATCACGTTATTGCTAAAATGCATGATGATTGTAAGTAGGCGTTGTGATTGTGCTTTACCAACAACCCATGATACTGCTGGAGTTGCTGATGTTCCTCCTCTAGTTATTTGAGCAGGAAAAATAACAAAACATTACAACTATCGTTACAACACGTATTTTCCTCAATGCTACATTTACTTTTTTATCAATGACTAGCTGAGCCCGCGACTTCGTCCTCGTGGAATAGTGATTCACAGCTGCTTCCCCATAGATGATAACATGATAATATGTAGTCTATATGTTGACCCGACCAAAATTTAAAATAAATCCATGAAGCACTTTTTAGTTCATTCCGGACATATAGAGGTACAAGGTTTTGTTTTAAAGCCGTGTCATTTTCTAGGAGGTAACTCGGCTATCGATTCTGAGTCCGAATCAATAAAAAAAATGTAGGTAAATATTTTTCATTTTTCTGTAAATTACAGAAATCCGTAAGTTCGAACTACACGCCGCCGTCTTGTAACTAGCTTTATAACGCAGCTTAACACACACAAACTCAAACACGTAATTGATATTATTCCTAATTCCTAATTATTCCTAATTCTGAAATACTGTCCAACTTAAACGATTTATTATAGCCGTATTTATAACTATTGACCCGAAATTTTCTTTTACATTGAACCTTTATGACTTCTGTGCCCCCAAAAATGACACGACTTCGAAACTACAACTTGTATACAGAAAAATAGACAAAAAATCTAAAAAATATATTTTTGGTTTCGGTATGGAGTGTAGATCACGCTCCAAGCATTCTTTTAAAAAAATATTCGATGTACAGGTTTCACTTTCCTATGATTTTATTATATTATATTTATTAGATCTAATATATATTATTAGATCAAATTATTACGTGAGTAAGCCGAAAATATAATAATTTGTTTAGCTTTTATCCGCGGCTTCGCTCGCGTCACAAAAGGATAAAAAGTATCCTATGTGACATATACCAATAGACACAGCGCCATCTATACCAACACTTTTGTTTCCCCTCGGGAATATCAAATTTTTCCGGGATAAAAAGTACCCTATTATTTAATCCAGACTTCTAACTTTACGTTTGCAAAAATTAAAAGCAATCGGTTTAGTAGTTACGGCGTGGAAGCGGAACAAACAAACAAACTCACTTTCCGATTTATAATATTAATAATAAATAATATTAGTATAGTATTAGTAATATTAGTAAATTAGTAATTAGTATATTAGTACTAGTATTAGTAGTATATTAGTATTAGTAATTAGTAATTAGTATATTAGTATATTAGTATTATTAGTATTAGTATAGTATTTGTAAATTAGTAATATTAGTAATAGTAATTAGTAATTAGTAATATTAGTAATACCTTCTCCGTGTGAGAAGAGGCTTTGCTCAGCAGTGGGCATTTATAGGCTGTTGATGATGATGATGAATATTAGTAATATTAGTAAGGAAGTACTTAAGGATGTCTCACGAAAGTTACAATACAAACATGACAAATGTGTCCAAGAGTAAACATGTTTTTGAAATATGACGTAAAATCCGATCTATTTAGCTTTTATTTGCTAGTTAGCTATTATTAAAATATGATGAAATAGTAGGTACATCATACATCTATTATATTATCATCGCTCTCATAACAATGGAGTAGGTAGTTTTTTATTAAACCTTATAACTAATAGAATGTTTTTTAATAATATGGGTATTTTATTCAGACAAGTTTTTGATAGGATTTTTTTTTAAAGGGGGAAAATCATCGAATGACTGCTCCCGCCTGGGTGAGGCGGAAGGGAGTGTCAGACTCTTACTGACTAAAAACCACCCCGTTCCTTCTCCTGCACGTCGAGCCGGAGCCCCGGTTACCCGTTAGGTTCTCCGCGACAAGTTTTTGATAGGATAAGCCAGTAAACGAGCACACGGAACTCCTGATGTTAAGCAAACGGCGCCGCACAAAAACACAAAAGTGCGTTGCGGGCTTTTTGGAGAATTTGAGGATTGTTGTGGATTCAGGAATTGGGAGAGGGGGTGGGTACTGGGTCTCTGGGCAACGGGTTCGATTCAAAACACTCTTCTTTATGTGATCCACAGATTGTTGTTTCGGGTCTGGGTGTGATGTGTATGTGAACTTGTATGTTTGTAAACGCACCCACGATACAGAAAATCCAAGTGTGGGGGCAAAAAATAAAACATATAAATCATAACAGCATGTTAGCTAGAATATAATTTTCGAATAATAGCTAATATTAATATTGTATTGTAAATTGTAATTTTCGAGAGACATACTAAATAAATTATTATGTTTTCGCCTTACTCACGTAATAATTTGACGAGGAACTCGACTAGTTTCAAGCCATGCTAGAGGCTCATATTCATGAGCATCATTTCGCGACCCGCGACGCGTCGACTGTCGTTGAGTAGCAGCGCGACAGTCGCCGAAACTCGTCGAGTTCCTCGTCAAATTATTACGTGAGTAAGGCGAAAACATAATAATTAACAGTTATTAATATAAAAATGTCTCAGTTAAGTACCTCTATGTTGATTTAAACTAGACTAAATCCTAGGATCAAAAGCCCAATATTTACACAATTATAATTATTGGGTTTTTTCAATCGTAAAAATTCAGTTTTAATATTCAGAATTGTCGTGGAAATTTCCATATTTGTTCAATTGCACAATGAAATTATAATTCTATGTGTCGCAGGCGAATTGTAGAATCCGCCATATTACATAACGGCTAGCCGATTACAAAAACAGGGTTTTTTACGACTGTGGAACAATTAGCCAGCTTGAACACGGCTGAGTCAAAGTCTGCCAGATAGTTTTCAGTTTCAAAGCGGTCATTATTCTCCTCTGTGTCACTTAATAGTTACAAATATCAACACTCGCGACTCTGCTTGACATAACAATATATTTTTCGTAAAGATAGTGTAAATCCAAGATGGCGACAATAAGAAAATTTGATCGTCTTCGTTAAACGTAGCTGCCATATCAAGCCATAGTAAGCAAGCATATCAAGCCACCATCGCAAAAAATGCCGTCCCGGAGTCGTGCTTGTTAAGTGTGGGAGAGCCATGCTTCAGCACGAATGGGCCGGCTCGACCGGAGCGATACCACGAAAGCAGAAACCCGACGTGGAACATCGCTTGCATTGTTTCGTCGTGTGAGTGAGGTTACCGGAGGCCCAATTATCC